CCTACTTTGGAATTGTTCAAGAACTTTTCAATCTGCTTTTCCTCCATCATCTTATAATTGTAACCAGATACTCAAAACGTTAATTAAAGAACAATTACAAGAGCTTCTCTACAGTGTTCACAAGAATGGTACACATTAATCCTTTTGCATACAGTACCCAAATATTCTAAGGATGGAAGGTCCCAGGTTATCCTACCTATGTCTCTTAAACAAGTATTATCTTGATACTTGAAATAAGTTAGGTTGAAGTGAAGGCTAATTGTAGTGTCTTCCCAAGCCTGATGAACAAGATGATATAACCTATTGTACAGAAGCAATGTTATTCAGGTGAGCCCTAATTTTATCTTCTTTATTTACAATGGGCTCAAGGGGATTAGTTGAATGAATAAACAAAAGGCACCTTGGAGACTGGTGTTCTCAGGACACCAAGTGCTTAACAATAGTCCAAATTAGTATTTAATTTCAAATGAAATACATGGGTGATAGTGGTCTGAAATCAAAGTTCAGGAAGGCTTAGAACAATTTCCATTTTCTTCATAATCTATGATTTCACAAAGAGAAGAAACAAAAGAACAGATTAATAGAGATTAACACTCTAGCAGCACACAAAACTGTGAAAGCATGAGTTTTTCTATTTTAGAGAAAAACTAAGAATTCATTGTGATGGTTTAGAATGGCCTAAAGCAATCTCCATTATTCTACATCACAAAAGTTATAAGGCTACCTTTTAAGGTTTTACAGTTTCTCTGATTGATAACATAGAAAATCTGGTCATGATTATCATTACTACCATTTATTCATTTACTAATTATTTTGGCATGTTTATTATGTGTTGAATTCAAACTTAGTTTTTATTTTTTTACTCTTACTGAAGGAGTGAGAATTTTATATTATTTAAAAATATCATAGTGACTTATCCAAGTCCATCGCAAACAATATTCCTTCACAGTTTGTCTTATTACACACTGGTTTGAACTAAAAGGACTCCATTCACATCATTATTTTTATAGTTTTATTTAGTTGATGCTTATCAGGTATCCATGTACATAAATATTTAAAATACAATCAAAATTTGGGTAGATCACTGTTTCTTTGGTAGAGATGAAATTATTTAATACATAAAATTGCTATGATAAAGATAAAAGCTAAGAAATACAGAGCATATGCATAAGAAAGAAACTATCAAAAAAGAACACCTGTATTAAACTCATGTATGTCACAGAAATTTATCAATAATCAGAATCAATACTTGAGTAATATGCTTTAAGCATGCTCATGTTTAATTAAAAATATCATTGGAAAAATAATGATATGTGTTTGT